AAAGAAATCCCTCCATGGGTGATACAACGATAGAGGGCGTTCATTTTATAGCGTTAACATCGGTGCTGTAAGGTCCGGTATGAAACGGGGGTGATAGAACAACACAGCACTTTTAAATTTCAATTAACAGAATACCGAAATTGTTTCCGTTGTTTTAAAAGGTTTATGTCAGTCTGCCTTTTCCCCATCGACACGTTTCCTACGGAGCCCTCCAGCGGACATGGGGAATTTTTTGGCACTTTAGGGGGTAAAAAAAATAAATAAATAAAAGACGCGCACATTGCGCAAAACTCTGAAACAGGAGAAGCGGGACATAAAACGGAGCGACGAACTAGATGTGAATTATGGCATAAGAACAGAGAATCTGACACTGAACAGCGAAAAATCAACACATGATGTGAAACATGATGATTAGGCGACGCAGCAGGTGATGAGTGAAGATTACTGGTGGTGAACGTCAATACATGATCAAATAAATCTAGCAACAGGAAAGAACTAAAGTGGACATAGTAATAAACCAGGAGAGGATAATTACTAATCAGAGGAAACTAAATGGAAATGAATGAATAACAAAATGCAAGAATAAACTAAAAATTTAAGTAAATAAAAGGAATAAACTGATATGGCAAGACCTTTCGATTAATAATTAATACAGAGGAGTGTATGGTAAGAATAAACATACACTATTTCCAGATAAAAAGAAAAATAATATTGTTGAAGTACCATGGGTTTGTTGAGACCACATCTAGTACTGAGAATAAATATATCTTACAGATCATAACAGTAAATAACTTATCACTTATTCATGTTTTTAATTAGATTTGATTAAGAACCAGATTTGTTTTTTGTAATTTCTGTCCAGTAAAACGATTAATCTATAATCAATAGACAGGTCTATATAAAGATATAATCCATGTTTCTGTCTCATATTTCTATGGCATTAAAAGGAACTTTAGTTTTTCCACTGAAAGCTCTGGTTTGCACACTAAATGCCATGTGGGTGAAGTTTTATGGCTGAAACTCTGATGTCCCATTCTCCTGAAGGCAGCACAGAGCTGCACCACCAGAAACCTACAAGAAGAGCTGTGATTAATGTAGTTACAGTTCTATCCATGTTTTAATGCTGCAGAGCTCAGTCAGTTTGCAAATAGATCAAAGTTTAAACTGGCATGTTGAACATATTTTATCTGGTCATTTTGGGGTATATTTAACAACTAGAAAATGGCACAGAACAAGAATATTTTTCCACTCTGATTGGCTGCTGTTAGGCCTACCAATTTTAACTTGAATGTTCATTGCATTTTTCATAGACGCCTGTGAAAATAATTTCTATTCCCATGGCTTTTTTGTTCTCTGGGAAATTATTTTTGATGATAAATACAGAAACAAGCATAAAAATCAAAACATCTACAATTTTTTTGGTGGGGGAAAATTAATTCAACTGAAGAATTTTTAAAATATATATACTTCTCCTTTTACATTAATTAACAGCTTCTATAAAAACAATGTAACAGTGACTCTTATTTCTCTTAGCTTTCAAAATGGGAGAGAATTTTGAATAAGGCATGTAAAAGTAAATGTGTGCTTCATAAATTAAGAAAAGGCTAAAATCTGCTTTGCAAAGTAGAGCAGTGGCAAACATGGTCGAATGAGGACCCGAGTTCCTCTTCGACCACACAAATTGAGGAGCGAGGTGAAAAAATATCTAAAGCTTACTGTTAGCAAGAAAGCGAGGCAGCCTCAAAGTTATCATCTGAGAACATGAAGCTATTAACAGCAGTAGCTCAGCTGGTGAAAAAATGTCACAGAAACAGAAATATATATGAATATTTTTTTTTAAAACAACATAGTTAATGGTAGTAATAGCTGCAAATGATGCACAACTTAAGAGCAGAAAGAAAGTGACAAAAAGTACCTACAGCTGAACAACTACAGAGAAAGCTTGGAAAACT